TAAAGAGACCAGTATTTATAAATGCCAAGGAATTAAAGCCCTCTATAAAAGAGTTGGTCCCATTTTGGGGTTTATTGGCTTGACAATCTTGACGATTAACTTGATCTTGTTTGTAACTTTTTTGGTAAAGCTTTATTATCACGATTCAATTCATTTCACGAAAAGCAAATAAGAATGAGAAATCGAGGAAAGGACAATACTTTTTACTTGTCTTAACTTACTCTTTCCATTATTCTATCGATCATTATGTTTCACGCCTAGCACTATTACACTATTACACTTTTCTAGATATGTAAATAAATGTAAATAATCGAGCTAATTTATGTCTTTTCATTATAGCTCGACTAAATTTTGCGATTGAATTGAGTATAATTGATTATCATTTGATGATACATAAGCAGAATAAAAAAAAAAAATAGAATATTAGTATTCCGTTAGCGCGTTTTAAAATATTGACGTAGTTGAATAAAACATTCAATTTTTTACACAAAATTTCGAGCGTCTGTTAAGAATTGAGCGGATTAAAAAGATTCAATTGTCGTTAGATCTCTTAGCAAGTTTAAGAAAACTCTTAATGTAACATCTTCGAATTTTCCTTAATCTCTCTTAATTTACAATTACTAATTTATTATCTTTCTATGTTGTAAGGCGCACGTGTCAAATTGATAATCTTCGACAAGTGACACGTAAGTAAAAAAGTCGCGTGAGCGTTATCGAGCACAATAGTTACCAAATAATGCATTGTACGGAAATGGAGAGGTACTGCGAAAGAGGTGCTCTCGCCTTTCCCTCGGCGTATACAGAACGGGGGCTGAGAAAACGCGTAATTGAATGATGCGCAACTTGGATGCTCGATGAATAGAATTCAATGAGGCGACGCTATATCTGCAAATGCACAGGGACATCGCGCGAGTTACGATCCGGATCCACCGGCCTCTCGCCGCGAAGACGATCGCGCAACACAGTCTTGTCGGTAGTTGCGAACGGTAGTTTAATCCCTGGGGGTGAGGCACCCCGACTACGAGGTGATTTCATCCGCGTTCGAATATTCCGTCCATTTGGAAGAGACTCGCTTTTATCTCGTGTTTATCTCGTGTCTCTCTCTCTCACGAATCCGCCATTTAGCAGATACGTTCAGCAGACACAACCGTCGTGTGTCCCATCTCATGTTGTCAAACGTCAAGTCGTCGAACAGAGACAGGTCAGGATTTAACCCGATTATATCGTATAACGTGCAAAGAATACATCATCGTTATGTTTCTCAAGATTTTTCTATTACATACAAGTTACAAGTTATACTTGCGGAAGGACTTTTTTAAAAAGAAAACAAGGCCCTGGCTTGGCTCGCATCGCTTCTGTTCGCTGTGTGATTTTTACGAGATAGTTTGCCTAATTGAGCGACGTTGCTCGTAGCAACTGGCAATCAATTTCGAAGTATGTACTAATTCGCGAGAAACTTTAACCGTTTAATCAGTTCAATTGTGTTATCCTGCAAAATCATTGACCCTCCTTATTACATATTCTCTTCGCCAAGCTTCGAGGTACTCGGACGAACGAGATCACGTACGATTCGTCGATACGCTGATACGATTGAGCACATTAAAGCTCCAAATGTAAGATTATACTTTTTTAAATTATTAAACAGATTAGTTTCAATAACAAAAATAAGAATAAATAATTATATAAATAATTATATAAACGATTGAAACATATAACATAACAAACTAATTTATTATCCGTCAATTGATTAAACACGCAATATAATAGATGTCTGAAATGTCATTTCCAACATTTATTTGCATACAAATCAAAACCAAATGAGAAATGTAACAAAAAATAGCTTAAATGTTACGTATTCGCATTACGCAGCTACCTAGTGTGTAATATAAAGCGTGCTTGTTTAATGGAATCAAGATAAGAATTTTGTGCGGATATATATAAAGTTGTGCAATCTCTATCTGATTGTTTGATCTTATTAAATTAAATATATATGTCAGAGTTGGATAAAAAACATTATTATAACAAAATATCTTATTGACATATGTAATATAACCATACGTACCATACATACACGTGTGGCATATGACAGTGCTCCAGAAACAATTGCGAATTAAATATTTGATTTTATGTATGTAAGATATAAAATATTGAGAAATAGTTCCGCCACCTTCTTATCTATCTTTGTTAAAATAATGCTTTTAATTTTTTTGTTAATAAAGTTGACAAGTTACTTTAGATTAAATTCGTCTTGTCCTCTAATAGCCAACTTTTTTTGCGTGCACGTTTCGCATAAAACATTTCAACATTTTTCTAAACAGTAATCAATTTCATATTACGTGACTATGCGATTTAATAAAAGAGAGAAAAGTCAAATTTTTATTAAAAGCAAACTTGGCAAACTCTCAATAGAAGGAAGAAAGATAGAGATAGAGATAGGTAGATATAGGTATAGATAGAGAGAAGGGTAAAGGAAAGATATCCCACGCGCGCAAGATGATGTCGATTCGTCGTGGTTGACTCAACTAGACGCCGATGGATTTCATTAACTCGAAGAACCCGCGCTTCGTTCAACGCTGAACGAACGAACGAACGAACGAACGAACGAACGAACGAACGAACGAACGAACGAACGAACGAACCAACGAACGAACCAACGAACGAACGGTGATGGTATGCGGAGATGACAAGGCGCACTCTCGCGGTCGGCATCATCCCGCTGAAAATCGTGGAATTTCTTTATTGTTCGCCATAGCATCGAGGGGTTCCGGGCTTTTCTTATCCCCTCTGAACATCCCTTTTGACCCCTCTCGTCCCGGCGCTCTATCTCCTTGCCCGCCACCTTCTCGTACGAGACGACGCCGTCACTCGCAGATGCTGCTCTCAACTCTGCACCGCTATAATTAATACGGCAGCGAACGTTCCGGAAAACGCCACCTCGTAAAGTTAATTCAATTCGCGCAAAACGTAAGCGGTCTCCGCGGTTTTTCCAAAGGGTATATTCTATATTCTCGGAGGGGATGCGAAAGACTTTGAAAGAGCGCTCCTCATACCCCGGCGAGGATGTCGCGAATTGAAACTTTAATCGCGTTTAACGTCGGAATATGAATGATATTCTTTTTCTTTTGCGAAACCTCGCTCTGACGACGAGATCCATATGATTTAAGCAATCTTCAGATCGAATCGATTGTCTGACTTACTTTATGAGATTGTCGCTTCGTCATGCGTTGTATGTCGCCGAGAGTGTGAATTAAGAAACCAATTCTCTCCATAGTCAGTCACACAATCGGTTACGCTTACATGCCGCGAATTCCTTCATCTTTATTTATAATCCGTATTCGGACAGCGCACTTTACGAAAAAGAATTGGATGGGATTCGGAATTGACCATCAGTCTTGGGAACACTCTCGCCGTCCTCATGAAAGGCGATGAGCTCTCGCGTGATATCCTACAGCGAATCTACGAGCATGTCGTTTATCTACCGCATCATTTCGCATCGTTTCTCTTTTTTCTTCTCGTTTCTTTGTTTTCTTAAATTCAGCCTACGCGTTGTCCTTATCCCGTCTTTTCCATCTCAAATTTTTATAGATTCCATAAACGATAGTTTGAACGATAGCCAGATCCGTACTCCAATTACACGCGCGCGTTTAACGCAAATTCCCTAATATTTAATTAATCATCTTACAATTTGATAGGTATAACGGTATTGCGACGGAGCAATTTACGTAATTACACAAATGTAATTGAAACATTTACAAAGATAACTGTCTTAGTTGTAAAACATTTAAATGCAAATATAAAGAAAAACACAATAGACTTTTTTAATTAAATAAATACGTATAGGATATAAGCCAATGATATCATTGATTGATATCCTTATATTTACAGTCGAATTAGGAACTAGTAAATTTAAAAATTCTAGGGTTTTTGTTTTTTTTTGCCACCAATTACGTATCATTATTTATTGCTTAATTGATTTACGGGCCAAGATCAAAATATATTTCCCCCTTTTTTTTAAAATTACATACCTAACGATACTGTTGTATCAAAAAAATCTCAAGAAAAGTTAAAGTTAAATTCTCATGGAAGAAGTGGAGTTTATCTCTCCTCTACTTATTTACTTAGAAATATATAAATAATCAGTATGTTAAGATATACTTATTGTATAAATATAGTTTCTCGCGAGCGAAAGATGCAAGTCTCGTTCTGCGACAAAGCGGTGCTTATTGGTCGAAAAGTAAAGAAGCCACGTCTCTGCGAGAAGTTGCTAAGGCTTGCTCGTTAGTACAGCGATATCGAAAAAATTCTATTGCCCTCGCTATCGACTATCACGTCTTTCTCTTCCTATCAGTCCATAAATATCATCGCTGTATCATACGCTTCTTTTTACTCTCTCTCTCTTTCTCTCTCTCTCTC